GGGAGGGAGGGGGGTGGAGAAGGGTGGGTTTTGAGGAGGAGGGGAGTTATATTGTAAAACTTTTAAAAATTTTCAATAAAAAAAAAAGTATAAGATTATAGTCTTAACCATTAAAGTCTGAAAACCTACCCCCCCCAAATTATCCAAAAAACCAGACATTCTTTTTCTTATATTTCACTACATCCATGGAAACCATTTTTTTCTAGGACATTCGGGTTGAGGTCAGTTACGCAAAGGCGGGACAGGCCAATCCTCAATCCCCGATTCTGCTCAAAAGAGCTTTGGGGGTCCAGAGGGGGCCTGAATCCTTCACAGGTATGGGGGGGGACTGGAAGGGTCAAACTCCCCCCTGGCCCAGCATCAGCCTCGGCAGGCCAGAGCCGGGTCCCCCCCCCCGCAGCTGAAGGAGACTGCACCACAGTTGTGTACATACAGCCAGTCGCACAAAGTGGGTCCCAGATCCAGGCAGCGTCTGGGGGGGAGACCGTCCATCGCTCGCCTGATCAAAGCAGAACTCCTGGACTCTTTTCATGTTTCCCCAGGAAGATTTTGATTTTCTCTGAGTTCCTCCTGCCACCCCAGCCCTCAACACTCCCCCCACACACAGAGGAACTTTGTTTGTTTCCACAACTCCCAACAGCTGAAGGAGTGCTGGAGTTTCGCTCCCCCCCCCCCAGCCTGAAGCGTTGGGCTCCTCCGAAGCGGAACCGAGGAACTGGCCTTGATCCAGCAGGCAACAGGCCCGGATTCTTCCCCGGGGCAGCTCCGGGACTGTCCGGCTCTGCCCCACGGCTGAGTCTCCAGGTGGGGTGGCCCCTCAGTCCTCTGCCCTCCCCCCCGAAGGTCATCTGCCCTCCCGACCCCCGGGAAACCCCGGACAGCCCAGGGAACAAACCGATGGAGGGTTGGACAAACGTCACTGGAGGCCCAAAGGACCCAAAAGCTCCGATTCTCGATTCTCCTCCTTCACACGTTATGGGGAGACTTGGCTCTCGGGGGGGGGGAAGGTTGAAGGGGCTCTGAAGCTGGGAAAAGTGGAAGGAAAGAGAGGCAAAGGATGAGAAGCAGGGAGGGGGAGGGGCTCAGTTGGAGTGGGGAGGGGGATGCTGACGGAGGACCTGGAGGAGGGGGGTGGGCACAGGTCTCCCCAGAGAAAGTCTATCCATGGGGGGGTTAAACGTTGACAAAAATTTGATGGCACATAACCATCATTAGCCCATCTGGTTATAGGAGATCTCCAGTCTTTGGAGGACCTCCAGACATTGGAGGTCCTCTAGTCCAGGGCTTTTCAACCTTTTCACCCATTGTACCAATTTTAGGTTATGGCAATATCCGAGTACCACCAGTCGCCTAGCAAGGTGTCAAAAACTTGAGGACCAAAAAAAAAAAAAANAGCTTCTACCTTCCGTCCTGCTCTCCCCGCCCGTTCGGCGCCATCTGCCTTTCATTCTCTCTCTCTCTCTCTCCTAACCTGGAGGGAGAGGGAGAGAGAGAAAGAGGAAAGAAAGAGAAGAGAAAGAGAGGAGAGAGGGAAAGAGAAAAAGTGGAAAGAGAAAGAGGAAAGAGAAAGGGGAAAGAGAGAGAGAAAGTTAAGGGAAAGAGAGGAAGAGAAGAGAAAGAGGGAAAAAAGAAAAAGAAAAGAGAGAAAAAGAGAAAAAGAGGAAAGAGAGAAAGAAGAGAAATAGAGGAGAGGAAAGAGAGAGAGGAAAGAAAGAGAAAGAAAGGAAAGAGAGAAAGAGGAAAGAAAGAGAGGAAAGAGAAAGAGAAGAAAAGAGGAGAAAGAGAGGAAAGAGAGAAAGTTAGAGGAAAGAGAAAGAGAGAAAGAGGAAAGAGAAAGAGAGAGAGGAAAGAGAAAGAGGGGGAGAGGAAAGAGAAAGAAAAGAGAGGAAAGAGAGAGGAAAAGAGAAAGAGAGAGAAAGAGAGAGGAAAGAGAGAAAGAGAGGAAAGAAAGAAAAAGAGGAAAGAGAAAGGGAGAGGAAAGAAAGAGAAAGAAAGCAAGAGGGAGAGGAAAGAGAAAAAGAGAAAAGAGAAAAAAGATTGAGAAAGAGAAAGGAAAGAGAAAGAGAGAAAGGAAAGAGAAAGAGAAGAGAGGAAAGGGAGAGGAAAGAAAGAAGAGAAAGAGAGGAAAGAGAGAGAAAGAGGAAAGAGAAAGGAAAGAGAGAGGAAAGAGGAAAAGAGGAAAGAGGGAGAGAAAGAGAAAGGAAAGAGAGAAAGAAAGCGAGGGGGAGAGGAAAGAGAAAAAGAGGAAAGAAAAAAGATTGAGAAAAGAGAGAGAGGAAAGAAAGAGGAAAGAGAAGAGAAAGAAGAAAGAGAAATAAAGGAAAGAGAGAGGAAAGAGAGAAAGGAAAGAGAAAGGAAGGAAAGAGGAAAGAGAAGAAAAGAGGAAAGAAAGGAGAAAGAGACGAAAGAGAAAGTTAGAGGAAAGAGAAAGAGAGAAAGAGGAAAGAGAAAGAGAGAGAGGAAAGAGAAAGAGGGGGAGAGGAAAGAGAAAGAGAGAGAGGGGAGAGGAAAGAGGCATAAAATAATTCATTTGCATTTAATTGTAATGGTTCAAAGAATGTTTGGAAAAATGTTCGGCCCTCCAGCACGTTCACTTCATCCAATCTGGCCCTCTTTGAAAAAAGTTTGGACACCCCTGGTCTAGATGGTCTCCACCCCTCCCTCCCTCCGAAGAAAGGGAGGCCTTCAAAGGAAGCTGGGAGGGGGGTCTGAGCAGGAGAAGCTCCAGGCTGCCATTCTCCTCCTTCCCCAAATCTAAAATCTTGACCCTCCATTTTTCAGAGGTTGCAAAAAAGAAAAGAAATTATTCAGCTACTGAAAAAAAAAACAACTTCCTTTCCCATCAGGAATCAGGAAGGATTAATTCATGAGTGCTGTAGAAAAAAAAGAGATGGGGAAGAAAATTAGAATGTAAAGGGAAACCTTCAGTGTAAATAACTTATTATTCCTCTCTTTCAGCCGCCCCCCAGACAGGCCCACATTGTAGAGGGGGGGGGTTGATAGGCAGGGGCAGAATGAGGGAGAACCCCCCCCCCCTTTCAGGGATGAAAATGATGCAAAGGACCAGCAATTCATCTCCCGGGGCTGATGGAATTTTCCCCAACTGAATTAATTGGGGGGGTTAATCAAGAGAGGATGCCTCTCCCCCCCCCAGACGTTTCATATTAAGAAAGAAGATGGGGCCAGGATGGGGTGGTGGTGGAAGCAAAGCCGGGTGTCAGTTTGCCAGAAATTGTGTGAAATGTCACAAGGAGACTTCCCTTCCCTTTTGCAATTTCCCAAAACTTGGAAACATCCTGGGTCAGATTTTAGTGTTTGTGGTGTGTGTTTGTTTTTGATTGCAATGCATTTTCAGGTCTCTGTAGGGAAAAGCTGCCCAAAATTTCAAAAATCTGTTGCATCCACAGCAAGGAGGTTTTGTTCAGGCACATTTTTTTTTACAAAAAGGAACAATTAACGAATGTTAAAGAAACACCTATAACTTGAGGAGAAACTCACCTGCAGGAGGCTGGATGGGAATTGCTGAAAGGAGAAAAAGAGACAATCAGAACCCTTCATGGGCTGGAGGACTCAGGGGGTCCCCCTCCCCATTGACAGCCCATAATAGGTTGCACAATGCTCACTTATACAGTAGACTCTCAGAGAACAGAATTTCCCAAGCAAATTTCCCAGGGGAGCCTCCTTGCCATCTGCTAAGCTTGCTGAGAGGCCTCCCCTGGATGGTCCCCTCCCCACAACCTCTCATCCAGCCCCCCAGACTCACCTTTCTTGCTCTTCAGGTAGAGGGAGAGCCCCATGGCAAAGAAGATCACCCCGATCACGGCTGCCACAATCCCCGTCCAGAGTTTGCTCCTGGCAGAGTGGGAGGAACGGGGCTCTGGGGAAGGAGAAGGAGCCCCCCCTGAGCAGGAGGATCAGGGCCAGCTTCCCCCACCCAGGGAGTGTCCATCCCAGCTCCCCCCACAGGGAGGGTCTCTCCCCCCTTCTCAGGGCAGGATGGGGTCCCCAGAGCAGGAGGGGAGGGAGGGGAGGGGCTCACCCCACTGGACGGTGATGGGGGCCTCCAGGCTGGCGTGCCCCACCTGGCAGGTGTAGACGTCCCCCCGCTGGGGCTGGGTCTCCAGCATCACCTGGAGCTGGTAGGTCCAGTCTCCGTTCTGGAGCTCCTCCCCGAAGGCCACACCCTCCTCCTCCGGCCGCCCGTTCTTCAGCCACCGGACCTGGATCTCCATGGGGTAGAAGCCCCTCGCGGTGCAGAGGAGGATGGTGTGGGGGGAAGTGGGATCCAGCTTGGTGGAGGAGATGGAGACGGTGGGCTTGGCTGGAGGGGAGGAGGGACATGGGGGAGACACAGGAGGGGCCAGAACAGGAGACCAAGTGGGTTAGTTCAGGCCAAGAGCCCTTTTTACTCCTAAAAATATTATTTGTTTTAAGTCATTTCCAAAGCAAATTGCAGCAAGAAATTAAAAGGGATCCTGAAAGATGGAAAAACATAAATGCTTCCTGGTTGGGATCAGTTTCCATCATCAAACTGCACAAGTCCAACAGGAATAAATGCTGGAAATGCCCCGAGACGGGGAAGACACACATAGCATGTTTCGGAGAATTGTAGGGAATCTCCTTCAAAATAAAATCACATTTTTAAAAATTAGGTATAATACCGGAACATATATTTATTTATTAAATTTATTGGCCACCATCTCATGATAAAATGACTCTAGGAAGCTTACAGCCATTAAAACATTAAAATCCTAACAGATAAATATTTCCATAGCAATCAAAATGGAATTCCCAATCAAGATAAAATTATATTTAAAAGACGGGGAGGAACAGGCTGTGTGAGTGGGGAGGGGGGATTGCCTCTTAATTCAACAACTATCTCCAGTGTGAGGCTCCCCATTAGGATCCCCTGATTTTGAGCCAGATTTCACCTAATAGATTGTTCCTAGCAGAGGAAAGATTTGTCTTAGAACAATTACCTGGGGCTTAACTGTAGTGCGTGTGTGTGTGCGTCCGTGCGTCCGTCCCTGTGTGTGTGTGTGTGTGTGTGACTTACTCTCTAAGGTGGAGGGGGAGTTCCTATACTTTTAATCTGTCCTTCTGGCCCCAAAAGGCCAGAGCTGGTTTCCAACTCCTTCAGTGCTGGGATTCTCTGCCCAAGAAAGTTTTGCATTCCGGAGGGGAATCTCTCCAGTCTGCTTCCTTCCCTGGGATCTTCAGCCAGGACACACTGTTGTATAATCCCACCTTTTTAAACTGTGATTTAAATTTTAACCTTATCTTTATTCCAGGGTTACGTTCTATCCTACACCACCCAGAGCCCCTGTTTGGGGGAGGGAGGGGGGCAGTTTAGAAGTATCCATCAATAGCGGTAGATACAAATGAATAAATTTCGTGGATCTGAGAGGAGAGCATGTATATAAGGAGCGAATCTTTCTCTGGGAGAATCCTAGTAAATGAAAGGAAGTGGGGGGTCCCAGGATCCCCCCCCCTGAATTCCCCCTTCCCCACTCACCTCTCCGGCCCACCATCTGCCCGGCCTTGGCTGTCTCGTAGTTGTGCCGGCAGAAGGAATCCACTTCGGCCCTCTTGATCTGCATGAAGACCTTATCGCTGCTCCACTTGTCCACATCGCGCTGCCCCAACGGAGTGACGGCCACGTATTTCCCGAGCTCGCTGTCGAAGTAGGCGATCTCCTGCCGGTCGTAGATGCTCCGGTGCAGGATTCGCACCCGCTGCATCCCGTTGAGGAAGTGGCACTCGAGCTTCTCTTGGTACAGGAAATGCGCTGCGGGGGAGAGGGGAGGGGGACCGTCAGGAGGGACTCCAGGGCCCATCGTTCCTAGCCCCTGGGAGAGGAGGAGGAGGAGGAGGGAAGGGGCAGGAGACCTTCCTTGAGATCCTGGTGGAAGACGCCCCCTGGAGGAGGAACTCTCTCAGTGCCAGCGGGAGGCAGACTTGCTGCGTAGTCTGGAAGGGGGGGAGGAAAGAAAGTGGGGGAGGGGAGGAACTTCCTGCTGGACCTCCTCCGTCCTCCCCCCCCCCGGCTAGAAAAAGGCAGGCAGAAGCTCAACTAGTCGAGCAGACCTACTTTCTGCAGGGAACGGTGGGTCCAAAGCGGCAGGAAGTATGGGGGAGGGGGAAGGGAAAGTAATATCCACACCTCCCTCTCTCTTCCTTTGGGGGGAGCGGTGAATATGGGGAGGGGGCACAATGAGGACATCTGGATTGACACTCCTGGATTCTCCCAGCCCTTCAACCCCCACCTTCCCTGGGTCCCCCCAACTTTTCTTCTTCCCCCTAACCTTCAGCTCAACTACCTGCCTTTGATGATTTTCGGGGATGCCTGTTTCCGATCCCCCTCCCCCAAAAAGACCCCCTGCAGCCCCCCCAGCTCATCTCAAAGGAAGGGTCCCCAGCCCCTTCACAAAAGGGAGAGTTTTGGGGAGCTCCTTTCAGAGGAGCAATTCGGACCCCCCAAGTCCTCCTCCCTCACTTCCCCCTCCCCTCCAGGTCAGGATTGAGCAGTGGGGGATTAGGGGGTGGGGGGTTTCTTGGTCTCCTCCCCAAATCCAGAGTCTCCCCCAAGAAGGGACCGAAGCTCAACTCTGGCCTGACCCTCAAAGCCTCAAATTTGAGAAGTTTCTGAAGAAGCAAAAATACTTTGGCCTAAAAGCGGCTTTTTCCTTGTGTGGATTCAGGTCTGAAAATGAATGCCTCAGTTTCCCTCTTTCGCTTTCGCTTTCGCTTCCACTTTCGATGCTGCCGACTCCGACCCAGCCATTTGGAGGGGGGGGGGCGAGAGAGGGGCCCGGCTGCGACTCCCCACCTCGGCTACAATCGTGGAAAAGGGGGTCCCTCTCCGTCCTCCTGGGGGGGGGGAAGGGGAGAGGGAAGGGGGAGGAGACCACGCAGAGATCGAGGCTGTTTCGGGCTCCCGTCACTCTTACCGTCTGAAGACCTAGCAGCTTTCTTCCCCCTGTCCCCCCACAAGTATCGGGGCTGCTTCCAAGCCCCGTCCCCAAATCTGCCCCCGCCCAGCCCCCTCCTTACCGGGGGTCTCCTTCCCCCCTTGGCTTTCGGGGATCCGGGCCAGCGCCCCCACCACCACCAGCAGCAGCACCAGGGGGAGCCCAGCGGAGCCCATGGATGCCGCCCCTCAAGCGCCCCCAGAGAGACAAGAGAGAGAGACGCGGAGGCGTTTTCCTCGGACATCGGAATTGGGAGGGCCCAGAAGAAGCAGAAGGACCAATCGGAATTCTCCCTTTCCCAACGTCATCAATCTCCGGGTAGAGTCTCCCTTGTCTTCACCCGATAGAGGAGATAGTTCGGAGCAGAGACAGGCGGAGAAAGTGGAAGGGGGATCCTTTCAGTCTTGGGGGGGCTGCGGCGTCAGGAGTGGGGTGTTCCATGCCAGCTCCGTAGGGGAGTGTGGATTTCCCTTTGCGCCCCCCCACCGCACGATTCTCACCCAGTCTCCCTTTCTCTGTGGGCCTGGAGGGGTGGACTAGATGCCCTTTTGGTTCCCACAGGGCCTAGAGGGAGCCCAGGCTGGAGCTGCCGAGACTCCGGAAGGGAAAAGTGGAGCCAGAGCTTGAGGGGTCCTTCTGGGCTCCCCCCCCGGCTCAGTATGGAAGGAGGAAGCCCCCAGCATTAGATGACAAGAAGGGAGGGGCAGCCCCGCAGCCAGGCAGGAATTGGGGGGCGGTGTCACACACACACACACACACACACACACACACACACACACACACACACACACACACACACACACACACCCCGAAGGAAAACCCTCAGCTAAACAGGGATCCCTCCTGGTCCAACCGGATCCTCTCCTCAACCTCCCCCCCCCTTCACGGGGGAATA